CGCCGCTGCCGGGCGCGGGCGGGCTCGCGGGGGCCGGGGAGGGGGACGAAGTGACGTCCAGTAGTCGGTGGAGCTGTGTCGGGCGCAGGCATTCCCGGCGGAGGGTGCAGAGCAGGCAAAGGCGCAGAGGCCCCTTTCCTTCACTGGCCACATCTGATTCGCTCCATCAATGACCCGGAGCATCCGCTGACACTAGAGGAACTGAACGTAGTGGAGCAAGTGCGGGTTCAGGTGAGTCAGCCCAGCGAGCGTCCAAGGGGAGCTCCGGCTGGTTCAGGAGTCAAAGGTTCAACTGTTCACTAAGCGGCTGCCATTCTCTCAGCTCAGGGACTCCTCAGGGGATCGGGGCGGGGGGGGGGGTTGTGTCTATTTAATGGATGGGGAAACTGAGGCCCGTAGAAGTCAGGCGACTTGCTCCCAAGCCACAAAGTAAGAAGAGGAACGCTGGGCTGAAAGCGCCAAGACTGCTGACAGCCCACCCCCACCCAGGTGAGCGACCCCGAGAGCACAGTGGCGGTGGCCTTCACCCCCACCATTCCTCACTGCAGCATGGCTACCCTCATTGGCCTGTCCATCAAAGTCAAGCTCCTGCGATCTCTCCCCCAGCGTTTCAAAGTAAGTTGGCACTGCGTGCTGGGGATGGGGCGCAAGTGTAATTATCTGCTACTGAGAACACGAAGAGCAGAAACACGGACCTGGAAGGATCCCAGCTAACAAGAGATGAAACTGGGAGGGACAACAAGAATAAAGGCCCGAGCTGGAAAGTGCAAAAGAGTAGTGAGGAGTGGGGTCGGGAAGGGCAGTAGGGAGCTAAACATAGGTTTGGAGCAGGGACGGGGCACAGGTAGAATGCTTTGAAGTCAACAGCAGTTGGCCGGCCCTTTGGGGAGAAGGGGAGTGGCTCCGGGTGGATTTGGGGTATACTGGAAGGGCCAGAATTCAAAGGCATGATTAGGAGGTGGTGAATGGGGGAGAGAAAAGAAGGGATAGACAGGTGGTTGAGGGCTCAGGCTCTACCTGTCTCCCTCCCAGATGGACGTGCACATTACGCCAGGGACCCATGCCTCAGAGCATGCAGGTAAGTGAGGGGTTTTGAGGCATTGGCCCCGAAGCTTCCCCCTTGCCCTGGTGGTTTGTGGGTCAAGGGGGGTGCTGGGTGGGTGACTCCTCAGTGGAGGTGGCAGCCTAGACTGAAGCTGGACTGACTAGAGTCTCCTGTTCTTACTGTGTCTCTCCACCCCCCCCCCCCCCCGCATCCTCTCCCTCTCCTAACTGCCCAGGACCAGGGGGTGTCAGGCTTTATGGGAGGCAGACTTGAGCAGCGAGGTGGGAGGGGTCCCAGATGTGGGCTCAGGTGGTTGCGGTAGCCTGATTGAGGCGTGGGGTCCTGGGAAGGAGATAAGGGGTGGGGGGCTTTGTTGGTGGGGGTATATACACATATTACCACTCCCTCCTTCCCATCCAGTGAATAAGCAGCTTGCAGATAAGGAGCGGGTGGCAGCTGCCCTGGAGAACACCCACCTGCTGGAGGTTGTGAACCAGTGCCTGTCGGCCCGCTCCTGAGCCTGGCTTTTCGCCTCCAGCCTCACCCAGGGCTCATGACCTTGTCTTCTTGAATCACTGACAATAAGAAACTCACACTTTGCATTTTGTAATAAACCCTTAATTTATATTCATTTTCCTGTGTGCCTTCGCGTCTTTCATCTCGGTGGGGTTACTTGAGGTGTGGGAGGGTGGTCATAGTGAGTGCCTATACAGGGCAGGTCAATGAGATTGAGCTTATTTAAAAAATTTCTCTCGATGGTTTGATTAGGAATAGTTGCAAATATATAAAAAAAAAAATTGGGAAGAGCCCTAGCCGGTTTGGCTCAGTGGATAGAGCGTTGGCCTGCTGGCTGAAGGGTCCCCGGTTCGATTCTGATTAAGGGCACCTGCCTGGGTTTCGGGATTGATCCCCAGTAGGGGGCGTGCAGGAGGCAGCCAATCAATGATTCTCGCTCATCATTGATGTTTCGATCTCTCTCCCCCCCTCCCTCTCCCTCTCTCAAATCAATAAAAAGATATTTTTAAAAAATTGTGCCCTGGCCAGTTTGGCTCAGTGGATAGAACGTTGGCCTGCAGACTGGAGGGTCCCGGGTTCAATTCCGATCGGCTGCACATGCCCGGGTTGCGGGCTCAATCCCCAGTAGGGGGTTTGCAGGAGGCAGCAGATCAATGGTTCTCTCTCATCATTGATGTTTCTATCTCTCCCTCTCCCTTCCTCTCTGAAGTCAATTTAAAAAGTACTATTATCTGGCAAAAAATGAACAATTCCCTAACACCATTTAATATCCTGACATATGTGAATTTCTCATCATTCATAATTGTTTTGTAAATCAGGCTCCAGTCGAGTTTCATGTATTTGCATTTGGTTGTTATCTCTCTTCTTCCCAACCCCCATCTTTTTATCTTCCTTGACACTGACGTTTTTGAAAAGTCCAGGTGAGTTGTCCTGGAGAAGTACCACAGTTTGATTTGTTCCTTTGTCTGCTGTGTTTCCTGTAAACCAGAAGTTGAGTGAGTTCAGGTTTGAGTTAGGTGTGCCTGGCTGAGACTCAGAAGTGACTGTGGGCAGAGACCTCTAGAGACCTCAGCAGGGAGTCTGAGCATTTGGCAAATCTGTTCTCCAGGGCCGGCTGACAACACAGCCTGTCCTGATGGGAACTATACATATACTACCTAGTCGGGCAATTCTTGATCCAGGTTTCTGTAGCAGTTACTACTCTCTATTATCCCTATTTTGCAGGTGAGATGAGCTGCTAGAATAAGTAATTTACTCCCCAAGACCTCTAGGGAGTAAGGAGGAACTTAAGCAGTTTAGCAGGTACAGCTCAGCTGGCAGGGGGCGCTGTTGCCTGAATGGAAGGGCCTATGCCCACCCCCACCCCAATTCCAGGAGGGCGTGGCTTCCTCACCTAGAGACACAAGCTTAGAGATGTGAAGCCTCAGCACAGGTCGCCAGTTTCTTCACATGTCATGTGGGGATGGTCATGACAATCACTTGGGACTGGTCTGTGGAGATTTAAAATGTCTCTCTCTCTCTCTCTCTCTCTCTCTCTCTCACACACACACACACACACACACACACTTACACAGACGGAGAAGCTCAGTGTTCCAGAGAGGGAGGGGGACCAGCCAGGGTCCCTCAGGCCCCAGGGAGCCTTCCCAACCACCAGTACCTGGCTGTAAGCTTCACCACCCGTGTACACACTGACAGCCCTGATCTCTCAAAGGTGTCTGGTGTCTGTTCAGCCAGGTGTGGAAAGTCATAGGGGAGGCAGGTGTCACTGAGTCATTCCGCTGGCCCTCCTGGCAGCCAGGCCGTGGTGGGCAAAGGATATTAAGCTGATCATGTCACAGCAGTCACATCAGACAGTCCCCTTGTCAGTCTTGACTCATGTGTCTGGCCCCTGGCTGCCTGCATGGACACCATCTGTGAATCCTGGGCTAGTGCCCAGGGAACTTTCTGGAACCCAGGTGCTGTCTGAGGACATGGGTACCGGGTTGGGGGTTGGGGGGGTGTTTGAGGTTTTAGGTCTCTAAAGGCTTCTACCGGGTGTGTCTGGCTCTTCCGTTTCTGGCCTATGACTTCTCAGGCCTCAGTTACCATGTCTGCAAAATGGAAATGACAAATCATAGCGAAATGAGATTGACCCAGGACTAGATGACATGTAGAACATGCCCAGCTATGTGGACTTTTGCTTATTATCATGCCCACAGTACAAGGGTCTGAGGGCACACAGTAGGTACTTAGTAGAAGTCAGTGGAATGAATGAATGAATTGGACTTTAGACCAGAACAGAGGAACTGAGGTGTGGGGGCTGTTGTGTGAGGAGGGCTAAAGATACTGAAGCCTAGCTAAGTCCCCTTTGCAGCATTTTGCTACAGAAGGGAGGGAGAAGGATGTGGGGGTCCCACAGAGAAAAGGTGGGTACTGGGGGGCGAGGAGGAGGAGAGGGATCTGCCCCTATCCAGAGAAGATCACTGTTCTGGAGAGAACAGAGCAGAAGCAGGAAAGAAGAAACAGGACAGGGCCCACGGATTCACTCAACCTGCCCTGCTCAACCAAGCATGAAAAAGAAAGTGTTCCTATTGAGATACTACTATATGCCAGACACGTGCCAACTACTTTATTGATATAACAACCCCCTCCAAGACAATATCCCTATTCTACACAGGAGGAAACAGGCTCAGCCAAGATAAATGGGCAGAGTTGAAACAACTAGTGAGGGACAGAGCTGGGATTTGAAGGTCGGGTTGTTGAGAAAGCTGGGAGGATCAGGAGGTGAGAGTGGAAGTGTCTGAAGGTCATGTCCTGGTCTTGGTTCCTGGGGCTCCTGGCCATACCTAAGCTTGAAGTGAGTGTATGTCTGGCCTGTTGGGGAATGCCTGGGGCCTGAGTGGCCCAATGTGGATGCAGTTCCCTTGGCAATGAAGAAACACTGCTGAGGTCAAGAGCTCAGATTACCAGAGGGGAAACCCAGCCCTAATTCCTTGCATGGCTCCCTGCTGGGAAGGGCCACAGATACCACCCCCCCTCTTGCCCACCCTCTGCTGGACATGCAGAAGCTCTTTTCAGTGACATAGTCATGTGAGCGGTGGGTAGGAGGGGCCATAAGCAGCCCAGCCAGGATCCTGATGGGAAGTGGTTTGCTGGCCCTTGAGACTTGTGTCTGCTGACATGAGCCATGACCCACAGCTGCCTCTTCCCATTAGACTTGGCCCAAGAAGTTAGAGCCAGCATAGGCTTGTCCAGGCCTCCAAGACCCGTCAGGCCGTGTGAAGAACACAATTGGATGGGCCACCCTATAGTCCAGCCCTTGCTTGCTTTGGGGACCTCAAGAACGAGATGGGACTGCATGAACCCCCTAACACTTAGCCAGGCCCTCCTCACTCCAGGGCCCTTTCTGATGTTGCCAAGGAAACTGACGCAGCAGCTAAGAGAGCCCTACCGGGTCTCCATGACAACCTATAACAGCACACCAGGATCCATCATCTGTGATGTCACCTGAGCCCTGAATGGGTGTTTCCACTCCTGCCACACTTGTTACAACCAAACGTCAGTCTTATAGTAGGGCCCTGTCCCAAAGCACCTCACAGCCTGCCTGCCCCCAACCCTCACATACCCCAGATATATGAGTAAGGAGGACTAGCTCATGTCCAATTTATAGCTGGGTACCCAGAGACTGGGATGGAGGCAAGACCCAGGAACCTGGAGGGAGAGCCAGGACTAGAAACCAACCCTCCTCATTACATCTCCCCTCTGTGTCCCGGCGGCCACCCTAGGTCTGAAGAAGGGATGAGCTCTGGGCAGTGGTGGCACCAAGTGGTGCTAAGAGCTCCCCCCACTTCTCCCTGCATCGGTGCTCCTCCTGGATGGGTGTCTGAACCTCCAGGTCTTGCGTGTGTCCTGAACAAGCAGGTCCAGACTAGGAATAGGGCGAAGGAGGGAGACATTGGAGGCTCTTAAAGTGGCTGGATCCAGCCCTGATCCAGTTCCTGGTCCAGTTCCACCACTTTCTGCTCCTGCTGGCATCTGACACCTGCCTGCCAGGATTTCCCCTACTTTGGGCAACTACCAGCCCAGAAACAGAATGACCAGGGCGGGGGCCAGGGCCAGGTATTTTTAGCAGAGTTGCTGGCAGCTGTCTGGAGGGTGCTGGGGGTTGAGGTGGTACTGAGTTCATCCTTTCCCTGCTCTGGGCCTGTGTTCCTTCCCCAGGATTCAAGCTGAAACCTCTAGCTGCAAACACTGCCAGAGGGCCTCCCTTCCCTATCCCCTCCCCCAAGTAGCTCTCAGAGGCCCCCAGGGGTTTATGGGGTGACACTCACCCTCACCCTGAAGGGCAAACTCATCAGGCAGAAACTTCAACTTCCCATAGCAGGGAGGAGTGGGAAGAACTTGGTGTTGGGGCTAGAAGTCGGATTTAGGACCCCTAAATTCCAGCTCAGATACGGGATAGTGGGGAGTGGATGTCAATGGGCAGAGAAGGGTGAAGTCTGTCCAGTCTGTAAATGTTCTGCTTGCTTGGGCGACAGGCCAGGGCAGGGCAAGAGGGGGGTGGAGGGGGGTGGTGGTGGTGGTGAATTTACTTTTAAAGGGCCAGACCTAATTCTTCCCCAGAGAGGGGTTGGCACAGTTTGGTTGGTCCTTGCCCCCACCCATCACGGCACCCTCCCCGCTACACCTCCTCAGCACCATTCACATCCCCTCCCTACTTCTTCCCCCTTCCTTGCCTCCCCCATCACTCTCTCTCACACACACACGCACACACCACGCACCACACACACTCAGACCCGGGCTTTGTCTGCCAGTCTGCCCTGCTCCGCCCTGGCGGGTGGGGCGGGGTCTCGGTGGGTGTGAGGTCCTAGGAGGAGGGTGTGGGATCCCTCCTGGGGAGAGGGGGACAGACACGTCAGCCCCAGCCTCAGCGTGGACGGGGGCGAGCGCGGGGGCGGGCAGAGGCTTAAATAGGCTGCTCCCGAGCCCGGACCCAGTGCGGACCGAGAAGCACCGGCTGTGACAACATTGAGTGCGCAAGCCGGGGTCTGCGATCCGAGCGCGGGACCTTGTCCTGACCGTGTCTGTGCGCGAGCGAGGGGGTGAGTGTCCTGGCGGAACGCGGTGGGGGTGGTCGCAGCGTCAGGGCTGCTGATGGACAAGTCAGGAGGATGGGTCACCAGTCAGGGCGCAGGGACCTCCGCGCCCGGGATGGGACTCGGCAGGACGTCGGTTGCGAGCATCTGGCCGGACCCCGGGTCGGGCAGGCGCGCCGGGGTCCAGCCTCCCCCTCCATCGCCACCGTGGCTGACGAGGCCGTCCCGATTCTTCCCCAGACGGCGTCCGACGTGATGACTCTGAATGGCGGCGGCAGCGCAGCGGGTGGGAGCCGCGGCGGGTGCCGGGAGCGCGAGCGCCGTCGGGGCAGCACGCCCTGGGGCCCCGCGCCGCCGCTGCACCGCCGAAGCATGCCGGTGGACGAGCGCGACCTGCAGGCGGCGCTGGCTCCCAGTGCGCTGGCCACGGCCGGGGCGGGCACCCGGACCCAGGGCCCGAGGCTGGACTGGCCTGAGAGCTCCTCGGACTCGCTCAGCTCAGGGGGCAGTGACTCGGATGAGAGTGTTTACAAGGTGCTGCTGCTGGGGGCGCCCGGCGTGGGCAAGAGCGCTCTGGCGCGCATCTTCGGTGGTTTAGAGGACGGGCCTGAAGCAGAGGCCGCAGGTGAGGGGCTGGGGCTGTTCAAAGGAGGGGAGATCCCAGGGTTAGGACTCGGGGCTACAGGGCTGGGGACCTGGAATAAAAGTGGCAAATACCAAGGGATTTGAAGGTACTTTCAGAATCATGCCTCTACCTACCCATTTCACAGTTGGGGAAATTAAGGGAGAAGGGACCCTTGGTAGAAGAAATGCTGAGTGGAAGGCCCGGGGCACATATATGTCTACTCTAGGATCGGGCAGGACAGCCCTTCCTGCCAGATGGACAGGAACACAGTCAGAGGGAGTTTCTAGGAGAGGCGCCTTAGGTGACCGAGGCCCCCAGAGGATGTGACTAGCATTATTCTAACTCAGGCCACTGTGGTCAGAACCACCCAGGCAACGGGTGGGCAGGGAGCAGAGGAATTGCTAGCTTGGGGAAGGGGTGTCTAGGTGGGGGTCAGGCACAGCATGCCTTCCCTCTCCACCCCCCCCACTGCCCTCCCCCCACTTCTGTTGCCACATAACAGCCATCAGTGGACAGGAGGGTTGGGAGGGGGGCTCTGGGGAGAGTTGGGGTGTGTGGCCGGAATAGGAAACCTGGCACCTGGGGTTTGGGGGAGGCTTTTTGGCAGCCAGCAAATAACCTGACTACTTACTGGTTTCCTGTCTAGGGCACACGTATGATCGCTCCATCATGGTGGATGGAGAAGAGGCATCGCTCATGGTCTATGACATTTGGGAGCAGGTAGGATGCAGGCTGAGACCCAGGGCGGGGTGGGAGGGGTGAGCTGGGGGTAGGGGCCTGCTGGGAGCAACAGTTTGTAGCTGGGGCACGAGGACTGTTGGGTAGATGTGTGTGTGTATATCTTCTTTAGGATGGGGGCCACTGGCTACCTGGCCACTGCATGGCCATGGGGGATGCATACGTCATCGTCTATTCAGTGACGGACAAGGGCAGCTTCGAGAAGGCCTCAGAGCTGCGGGTCCAGTTGCGGCGGGCGCGGCAGACAGATGACGTGCCCATCATCCTAGTGGGCAACAAGAGCGACCTGGTGCGCTCCCGTGAGGTCTCCTTGGATGGTGAGCAGGGTGGGGGTCAGAAAGGGAGGGAGATCCTGGCTGGGCTGCGGTCCACTCAGGCTTGACTCAGCTTGAGTCCCCGGGGGAGCGTCAGTGGCTAAAAATGTTCAGGAAGAAAACTTGTGGGGGGAGAAGGAGAGAGCTGCTGTCCTCCCACAGGACTCCCCCAAACCTGAGAGTGCTGGGGACAGGACCAAATGCACTAGGAGAGGTGGCGGCTGCAGGGTCACCTCAGGGCCCTCCTCTCCTGTCCTCTGTGGCCCTGGCCTGACAGACGAGGAGTGAGGAGAGTGCCTGGAACCAGGCCAGGAGGTCAGAGCCTGGACCCAGGCCTGGGCCAGTCTTGAAGTAGGCTTGCCCCTGGGGAGGACCCTGCCCTCTTGGGCTGAGTATCCTCCTTTTCGGCCCCCAGAACTGAGCCCCTTAGAGGAACCTCGCAGTGACTTGGTTACATACCCACCATTCCACTGGTCATTCATCACGATATAAAACACTAAGCTATCCAACAAAGTTTTCATTCTCCTGTGTTGACGACTGCAGCACTTCCATTTACGTATCAGACTTCAAATTATTTCAATAGATGAGTCTCCTTTTGTGGGCCTTTCTGAGCTCCTTAAACTCATACACCCAGTTGGGTGACCAGCAATACCTGAGACACTCCATACAGGGTTGGGGTCTCGGTTTCTGAGGACCCAGGGCTCCACTGTCGCTTACCCATAGGTTCCTGAGTGGTAGCTGCCATGGGGTGGCCAGGGTTTGAGGGGCTCCTCACGCACCCACCCTTTGTTGACTGGTTTGTGCCTGTCCCCACCTACACCAGAGGGCCGGGCCTGTGCGGTGGTCTTTGACTGCAAGTTTATTGAGACCTCAGCTGCACTGCACCACAACGTCCAGGCGCTGTTCGAGGGCGTCGTGCGCCAGATACGCCTGCGCAGGGACAGCAAAGAGGCCAATGCACGTCGGCAAGCAGGTACCAGGCGGCGAGAGAGCCTTGGCAAGAAGGCGAAGCGCTTCCTGGGCCGCATCGTAGCACGCAACAGCCGCAAGATGGCCTTCCGTGCCAAGTCCAAGTCTTGCCACGATCTCTCGGTGCTCTAGGCCTCAAGGGCACTCCCTGTGTTGTGCAGATCATTGGACAGATTGGTGGGCTGGCCCAGACTCTGGTATCCCCCACCTCATGGTCATGGACAGACAGTGCTGCCCAGGGAGGTGGCTTCCACTGGCCGTCGAGGGCTGGGCCCAAAGAGGCGCTTGGGCAGGCCCATGTGTGTCCCAAGCAGCAGCCCGAGCCCAGCTCCTGGGACAGCTCTGTGTGTGGGGAGAGGACGCTGCCTCTCTCTCCACCTGGTGTGCATGCCCTGGAGGGTGGCTGTTCAGTGCGGTGGCTATTTGTTTACAGGCAGATTTTTGTAATAAAGATTATTTCCTGATAGTTGGAGGCTGTGGACTCTGTGTTTTCTCCTGGGAGGGGAGGGGCTGCAGGAACAGGCAGGCTTCCCGAAGTGTGTGGCCTTGACTATCCTAATGTTTGGGCCCAGATGTAGCCAGCTGCGTCAGAGGGGGCAGGTGTGATTGGGGCCTGCTTTGGGGTCCCAGCAGCAGGAGGAGACATGAATCCCTCCCAGGTGTTATCCAGATTCTTCACTAACCACTGGGGCCTGGCATTGCCCAGTTGGTTGAGGGTTCAATCACTCCACTGTGTGTAAGGGAAACCGAGGCTGCCCGAGGGACCTCACCCTGCCCCAAGTCTCATGGCCGAATAAGAACCCTGGGTTTGGCCCTCCAGCTGGTGTCTCTACCCTGCTCCCTCCACAGGGGCTGGAAATGCACTGGAGGGAGGGGTTGTGTGGCTGTGGGGACTTCAAGACTCCCTGGCTTGTTAAGGGTGAGGTGAGAAAGGCACATCCTATGAGCTTGACTCCTAATAGCTCCCCACCTCCTTGCTGAGGCTGGGTGACTGAGGGCCCTCACTGTTCCCTCCACTGTGAGTGGCCTGGCCAGAACGTCCCATGCTTATAGTATTGGCAGGAACAGGTCCCTGGAGCCCTCCCAGCCTGGAATGAGAGGCCTTGCATCTGTGTGGGAATGTGTGCATGATCACTGAGAGAAGCGTGCCTGTCCCCGCTCCCCCACCCCCCTCACACCCGGAATGGAGAGCCCTTATGGGCACAGGTGCCTGCAGTTATGTAGGTCTTTTCAGGAACAAGCGTCCCCATTCAGCAACGGCAGGTTGGGCACTAAAGTGCTTGCCCGAGGTCACACAGGTAGAAGTGGTTGAATGGGGACTGGCATATGGAATGGGGTGCGCTGGTTTCCAGAGCTTGGAGGCAGCCTGGGGCAAGGCTGGGTGTTTCTGAGAAGGTTCCAGGCCAGAGTCCATACATTCCTCCATTAGTTCAGCTTGTTCATTCCACTGGGAGCCCTCGCAGCCTGGTTAGAGCCCTGATCGCAGTTGTTCAACGGCAGGAGGAGGTCCGTGTATGGGACCTCTGTGACTAACCCACATGCCCCCCCAGGGCAACGTTAACCAGTTCAAAGTTTCTGCTGCTCTCCCCTCCCCCAACATACTTCAAGGCATGCGGAAGGTCTGGGTTTCTCAGGCAGGTAAAGGTCTCGAAGCCTGAAGGAGAATCCAGACCTTCCTGCTTCTGCCACTTATTGGCTGTGTGACCCTCGGCAAGCCGCTCAACCCCTCTGTGCCCCAGTGTGTGACATGGGGATGGTGTCCACTTCAGAATACAGAGAGTGGAATAATGAAGTCATGTGCTTAGAGCAGGCACATTGTAGGAGCTTAACACACGCAAGACCCCTCCACATCCCCACACTGCACTGCTCCAGGCTGGGGTGCCTGGGGTGACCCTGAGGCAGGCACACAGCTTGTGACAGGCAAGACTGAGTGCAGTTGAGGGGTCCTGGCCCAGCCCCCAGCCTGAGAGAAATTAACCAGATATACAGTGGGAAGGACTCGGGGGGAGACCATGGGAAGCTCTGAGGACAAGGAGAGATTAGAGACCTTATGACCTTTCCCACCCTCCCCGCCTTGTTCTGGACTCCCAGGCCGCAGAAGCTTCTCTTGGCTCTGCTTGGCTGCCTCCCTGGGGGAAGGGCCCCTGGACAGCCCTGCAATTCTCTCAAGGTCACCTGAGCTGGCTCGATCTTCTCTTTCCGCCTCAGAGGCACGCGACTGTCTGTTGTCTCAGCCCTTTCAGTGTCCAGGGACTAGTGTGAGCACTTAGGGAGCTTCAGGGGATCTCACAGGCCATTGTCCCCTCACCTATTGCCCCACTGGTGGGTGGTCTGGAGCCCTGAATGCCCAGTTCAGGTGGTGTCCTGCTCATCTCTCCTTCGCGTGCAGCCTCAGCTCCTGGTCTTAGTTCCACAAGACAGCGGGGAGCTGCTGAGGCTGGGCAAGGACCGTCACTGCTGGGTCCCTGCATGCTGCCCTGGAGGGGCTCTCAGTCTGATGGGAGAGACAGACAGTACAAATCTGGTGTCCTCTCTGCGTTGATAGAGATAGCACATGGCATGGGGTGGGGGTATTCTCAGAGGAGAAGCCTGAACAAACCTGGGAGCTCGGGGAAGGTTTCCTGGAGAAGGGAAGATGAGCTGAGTAACGACGCCTGAGCAGGTGCTCACCAGACAAATGAAGTGGTGGGAAGGGCATCCAAACAAAAGGAACAGAGTGGGCCAAGGTGGGGCTGCGGGAGGTGCATGAGGGAGAAGTGGGATCGAATCTGGAGCCATAGAAAAAGTAGTCGTCTCTCTGTTTCCATGGGAGATTGGTTCCAGGACGCCCCAAGATACCCAAACCCAGGGATGCTCAAGTCCTTCATATAAATGCTGCAGTATTCGCATATAACCTATGCACATCCTTCCGTATACTTTAAATCATCTCTATCGTATCTAGTATATTTTATAATCATCTGGTAATACCTACACTTATAATACCTAATACTTAAATCATCTTACAAAACCTAACACAATGTAAGTGCTATGTAAACAGTTGTTATGCTGTATTGTTTAGGGAATAATGAGAAGGAAAAAAGTCTGTACTTGTTTAGTAAGATGTAACCATCGTAGGCCTAACTACACATCAACAACATAATTTCTTTTTTGAATATGTTTGACCTATGGTTTGTGGAATCTGCGGATGGGAAACCCACAGACGGTACTGTCCAGGCCCAGAGGGCTAAGAAGTGCCCACTGGGCTGTGTAGGGGTGGGAGGAGTGCCAGGCCGAAGAGCTCCCCACCTCCTGGGGCTGGCAGTGGCGGATGCTGAGCAGCCCCCAGCTTTCCAAAGTCAATGAATAACCTGGGGGGCTGGGCAAGGCCAGGCCTGCTGCTGTGGGCCCAGTGGTGTTTTCCATTCCTGAGCGAGCGTGGCGGGACCGCCTACCTGCTCAAGTGTACGCCCTGCCTGCTCAAGTGTCTGCCCTTCCCTACTCCACCCAGCCAGGTCCAGCCTGCACTCCTTGGAGAAAAACCTGCTCACCTGGCAGCTGGACCAAGGGAGCCAGCTTTAGGCACCAGTAGGTGAAGGCCTGGGCGTTGAGGGTGGAGGGTGGGCAGGGCTGAGGTAGGGTTGGTGGTGGGGGAAGGAGAAACACTGCCTTGTCCCTCCGCCATCCGGGGAAGACCGGAGTGGTTGTCCACGCTCCGTGTGCCCAGCTCCGTGCTGAGTGCTGGAAAATGCCAAGATGAGGGCAGGGTTCCTCCCCTGAGGGGGCTCCGAGTGTGAAGGATGGCAGTGGAAGGAAGAGCAGTCCTGGAGACCCTGAACCAAGAGTCCTCTGTTCCAGGAGGAATTCTCCTTGTGGTTCATTAATCCTCTGTGACCTTGGTCAGGCCCTGTCCTTCAGGCCTTGCCTGCAACATGAGGCAACTGCTGTCATCAGGGTCTTTCCAAACTTGTGTGATTTTTCAGGGCTGCTCTGGGGGGGCTAAGGTGGGAAGGAGACAGAGGTCTGGAGATGGAAGACCCACGGAGATCCTTGTGGGGCAAGAGCCAACAAGCAGCAGGGTGGCTGGGCCTGGGGGCCTTGGTGGGCCTGACTGAGCGGCTGGACACTACCCTGCCAGCCATGGGGAGCCACCGGCCCTTCTAAGGGGAGGAAGAGGAGGCCAGTCTGTCGCGAGGTCCCTCTGTCTGTGTATTTGGAATAAGCTGAGGCAGGGGACAAGGGTGGTGGCAGTGTCCACGTGGGTGGGCTGGGGAGGGCAGCTTTGAGAGTTGATGGTACAGCATTGAAAGACAGGGGACAGGAGGAGGCCTGGCTGCCTGCCCCATAGTGATCCGGTAGGAGGAGGTTCACCTGAAGGAGGGACTGTTACAACCCATGGCGCTTGGAGAAGCCAAGGCCTTGGAGCTGAGTGGGGATGAGGAGAGGAATACTTTCTAGGGGGAAAGGGGTGGGAGAGGCCTCCTGCCCACCAATCTGGGCTGGATCCTCACTGCCATGTCCCTCAGGCCCGTCCTGACCATGGTCCCTGCCTGGCTGTGGCTGCTTTGCCTGTCCATCCCCCAGGTGAGCTGAGCCCTGCTCCCCTCCTTCAGATCCTGGCTTTGGGATAGGCACCCTTGCTCCCCACACCACCTGGACCCGTTACACCTACCATAGATGGTAGTAGTTGGGGGCAGGGGATCAGAGCTGGCTATCGGGGTCATGAGGGTGGATGCGCTCAGGTATGGCCAGGTCCAGGGAAGAGGCAGAAATTCCCCTCCCTGTTAGGTCCCCAGTGCCAGGGCAGGAAGATAGAGCCTGGTGACAAGGTGAGAATCCTCCCACAGGCTCTCTCCGAGGCCCAGCTTGCAGAGCTGCATGTGGAAGTCCCAGAAAACTATGGTGGAAAGTTCCCTTTGTACCTGACCAAGGTGAGCTTGACCAAGGTGTACCTGACCAAGGTGGGCTGCCCTCCCCAAATCCTGCTTGCTTCCCTGACCTCCAGCACTCTTTTTCCTTCTTGCTCTGGCTTACTTTTAAACCCTGCTCTCTGGAGAATATGCAATACAGCGTGTATGACTAGCAAGATTTTAATTCCAGAAGAAAGTAGATCTTTAAGTTAAAGAATGAAGTATTGGAAGAAGAGTTTCAGGCTTTAGAAAGAAGGGCAGGGAGTATTAGGGAGCATCAGGTACAGGACTGAATCTCAGTCCTGTTACTGGCTGTGTGACCTCTCCGAGCCTCAGTTTCCCCACCTATAAAATGGGGCCATCCCCCAGGCCTGGCCTCCACCCCTTTCACCTCTGTTCTCCCCCACCAGCTGCCACTACCCCGTGGGGAGACTGAGGGCCAGATTGTGCTGTTAGGAAACTCAGGTATGGCAGCTGAGAGTCCCTTTGCTGTGGATCCCGAGTCCGGCTTCCTGATGGTGACCAGAGCCCTGGACCGAGAGGAACAGCCAGAATACCAGCTACAGGTAGGGCTGGGTCAGGTGTAGGGGGCGGGGGGCAGCGAAAGCAGGGCGGGGCACTAACTACCCTCCCCTGCAGGTCACCCTGGAGACTGACGATGGACGTGTCTTGTGGGGCCCACAGCCTGTGCTTGTGCATGTGAAGGATGAAAACGATCAGGTGCCCCATTTCTCCCAGGCCATCTACAGCGTTCAGCTGAGCCAGGGCACCAGGCCTGGTGAGTGGTCAGGGAAGCCAGCTCACAGCAAGGTCAGGTGAGCATTGATGGGAGAGCAGAGAGTAAAGAGATGGCCAGAGGCAGCATACGAAAAGGGCAGCCATGGTCCAAGCCGACTTCTCCCATTTCTGTCCCATCCTGCACTCCTCTATCCCACTGAGGGTCCTCAGGTGAGTCCCATCCACATTGGCCTCGGTTTGCTCACCTGTGAAGTGGGGTAAAAAGCTGTGGCTGACCTTGAGTCCTGATGTGATGATGGATAGAGAAGGGAGGACCAGGAAAAGATAGGGAGGCGTGGGAGTCTCTCCCATCCTCCATATCCCTTATGGTTTGCCCTCTCCGTACATACCAGGCATTCCCTTCCTCTTCCTTGAGGCTTCGGATGAGGATGAACCAGGAACAGCCAACTCAGATCTCCGATTCCATATCCTGAACCAGGCCCCAGCTCAGCCTTTCCCAGACATGTTCCAGCTGGAGCCTCAGCTGGGGGCTCTGGCCCTCAGCCCTAAGGGTGAGCCTCAGCTGGGTGTGATGAGGAGGGAGATTTGGGGACAGCTGGGAAGGACGGGTTGGAGCTTGAGAAATAAAGGAGGAGGAAAGAACATTCTAGATAGAGAGTTTCAAGGCAAAAGGCCATGCTTGAACCATGTATGGGGGCAGGATCAGGCATGGAGAGTTAAGAAATGGTATGGAAGGAATGCCTCAGCCTTACGCTCTGGAGACCTGGGCCTGAGGGACAAAGATAAGAGAGACCTGAGGGGTTGTAGCCTAGGACATTGCTCGGAATGACAGCAAGAGAGACCTAGACCTTGGAGTTCAGACCAAAGGCATGGTCGGGGGATAGGAAGAAAAGCCAGTCATATGCCCACCCACCCGGCCACCCATTCACTCATCTACCACTCAACCACATATGCAGTTCGTTTATCCAAACATCCATCCAAACGAACTCATCCACACACCCAAATCCCCACCCATCTTACTGCTCCCCAAACTCCAATCCATTCACCCACCTAGTCAACCATCCATTCATCCAACTGGTCATCTACTCATCTACTCATTCACCCGTGTACTCTTCCCACCCCTGTCCTGGTGATCCACCCATCCAGGCCATCAATCTTTCATTGTGTGGATAGATATGGAAGTGACTTTGCAAAGTTCAGGTCCTGGTTGGATGCTCACAATAGTGCTGAAAGTCCTTCTCATCCCTTCGCCAAGAGAGTATCCTGAACATGTGCCATATGTTTGGCTTTGTGTTTGGTACCTTGCTGAGAAGGTGCCCTGAAGCCCTGCTCCCTAGCCCCCTCCTCAGCTGACCACCCTTTCTCTTCTAGGGAGCACCAGTCTAGACCAGGCTCTGGAGGGACCCTACCAGCTGTTGGTACAGGTGAAGGATATGGGTGACCAGGCCTCAGGTCACCAGGCCACAGCTACTGTAAATATCTCCATAGTAGAGAGCACCTGGATGCCCCTAGAGCCTATCCACCTGGCAGAAAATCTCAAAGTTCCATACCCACATCATATTTCCCAGGTGAGTAAATGGTCATCAGTGGCTGAAGTAGCCCCATGGATGGTGCAGCTGGACCCGAGTCTCATGGAGGTTTTGGGGGTGGGCCGGAGGCCCAGCTTGACCCCACATCCCCTCCTACCTGTGCTCTTCCCTCCACTATCCCCATCAGTTCTCATTGGAGGCCCTGGGGACCAGACCCACAGCCCTTCAACTGCTATCCTCTGGCAGGTGTGGCTCTGTGCTGTGATGTCCTGAGCTTGCCTCAGGCTTCCTCAGGGAGAACAGCTGTCACCCCCCTGCTGTGCCCTACTGCCCTGGGGATTGTCACTCAGGCCAGGAATGTCTCAGGCCTCCTCGAGGAATGCCCTTGGGTCAGGCACGGCCTGAGGGAAGAGAATCAAACAACCTGGTCATTCAGGCACTTTGGGCAGGGTCCAGGCTTGGACCAGTGCAAAGCCACCATGGGACTGCCACAACCACAAGTGCCCCAAGCAGAAGCGCCCTACCTGGATTCAGGAGTGACAGCCACTTGCCTGGGATCACACAGAAATTGGGTCACACAGGAATAGTTGGAAAGTAAGGGCTGACCCAGGCTGCTCCTGCCTCTCATCCTGGGGAGTCCTCATTCTGTGTCCCCCTCCCAGGTACACTGGAGTGGTGAGGATGTGCATTATCACCTGGAGAGCCAGCCCCCTGGACCCTTTGATGTGGATACAAAAGGGAAACTCTACGTGACCATGGAGCTGGACCGAGAATCCCAGGCTGAGGTGAGATGAGGTGAGGGGGGAAGCCAGGAGGGCAGGCTAAGGGGTGCTTGGTCATGGTCTGGTTGGCTTCTGGGGGTGTCACATCCCCCACAGGCACTGAGGCAGTGACAGAGCACCCTGGAGAGCCGGAGCTGGCCATCAGAAGGGAACCCAGACCCAGGCGAGGCGGGAGCCGCCCTTGGCTTTCCACTGAAGTCCCCCACTGCCCACTGCAGTACCTGCTCCAGGTGCGGGCTCAGAACACCCATGGAGAGGACTACACAGAACCTCTGAAGCTGCTGGTGGTGGTGATGGATGAGAATGACAACGCGCCTGCTTGCCCCACACGTGGCCCCCCAATCCGCATCCCTGAGCTCAGTCCCGCAGGTGGGATATAGGCCTTGTCAGGGGCTGGAGGAAGGGTGAAGTCTCTATGAACCATCCCATCATGCTCTTCTTTGGGATGGGGCCAGCCTTAATGACCTCCACAACACACACACACACACACACACACACACACACACACGAGCTCAGGTTCGGTCCAGCACAAAAGAGGAATGGGTGAAGGAAGGCCTCCAGGCTGGGCCCTGGTCCCACCCATGTGGGTGCTGTCTTTGCAGGCACCGAGGTGACTAGGCTGCTGGCAGAGGACATGGATGCCCCCGGCTCCCCCAATTCCCATGTTGTGTATCGGCTGCTGAGCCCTGAGCCTGAGGAGGGAACAGAGGGGAGAGCCTTCGAGCTGGACTCTGCCTCAGGCAGTGTGACACTGGGGGCTGTCCCCCTCCATGCCGGCCAGGACATCCCTCTTCAGGTACTAGCGGTTGACCTAGGAGGAGCAGAGGGAGGTAAGTGCTCAGGTAGTGACCCTGATGATGACCCAGGCTCCTGCCCCCTTTGTTCCTATCCCGGCCTCCCCAACATGCCCTCCCCTGCCTCAGGTCTCAGCAGCACGTGTGAGGTCACCGTCACCATCACGGACATCAATGACCATGCTCCAGAGTTCACCACTTCCCAGGTAAGCAGGAGCAGGGGAGGGGACCCCGGGGAGGCGCTGATGGGGGGCTCACGGCCCATCCAAATGTCTCCAGATTGAGCCCATCAGCCTCCCTGAGGACACAGAGCCTGGGACTCTGGTGGCCACACTCCTGGCTACCGATGGCGACCTTGAGCCCGCCTTCCGCCGCATGGACTTTGCCATTGAGGCAGGGGATGTGGACGGGGCCTTCGGCCTGAAATGGGAGCCCGATTCTGGTCATGTCCAGCTACTCCTTCTCAAGGTAAAGGGCTTGGGGTCGGGAAAGGGCACACACATACACAAATGCATGCATAAGTGAGCCACACCCCAGCCCACACAGTGACCCAGGCCCCACTGGTTCCAGAACCTCAGCTATGAGGCAGCTCCAAGTTACCAGCTGGTGGTGGTGGTGCGGAGCGAGGCAGAGCTGGTGGGGCCAGGCCCGGGCCCTGGAGCCACAGCCACAGTGACAGTGCTGGTGGAGAAGGTGGTGCCACCCCCCAAGTTGAACCAGGAGAGCTATGAGGCCAGCGTCCCAGTCAGCACCCCGGCCGGCTCCCTCCTGCTGACCATCCAGCCCTCAGACCCCATGAGCAGTCCCCTCAGGTGAGTCAGAAGCGCAGCCCCTTCCCTGGGCTGGACCCTCCCTGCTCCCCAGGGCCTCAGAGGCAACTCACATTACCTATGCAAAATTCCTCAGACCTGGCTAATGCCAAGGTTGTGACTCCTTGGGGAGGATCAGGGCAGCATGAGCTGGACAGGACACGAAGAGGGGTATTTGGAGCCCATGAGAGCTCAGACGGTGCCTCCTCATGCTGTTGGACTGGGCCTCCTCCATCATCATCGTCCAGTCTGCTGCCCAATCCTGGTCCCTTCATGGGGTAACCTGGGACTAGTGGAGTTGAGTTAAGCACCCCCAGGCTCTGAGAGTCCCTCTCCTACCAACAATATCTGTGGTTCAAGCCCTGCCCCCCAATAAGTCCCTGAAGCTGGAGAGAGAGACTAGGTACCCCAGGGAACTGCTGCCACCCCCAAGTCACAGAGAGGGTATGGAACTTGAACAGGTCACACGGCCCTGGAGGTCTCTGAGCAAGACCCCATATATGATAGTCACAGAGAGGGTATGGAACTTGAACAGGTCACACAGTCCTGCCTGGAGGTCTCTGAGCAAGACCCCGTATATGATCCCAGTGCCTCCCCACCCCCATCTTCTCTGGGCCTCAGGTTCTCCCTGGTCAATGACTCAGAGGGCTGGCTCTGCATCAAGGAGGTCTCCGGGGAGGTGCACACGGCCCGGCCCTTGCAGGGTGCCCGGCCCGGGGACATGTACACAGTGCTCGTGGAGGCCCAGGATGCAGGTATGGACAGGCAGTGGTGGGGCCTCTGGGAGGGATACAAGCCTCAGACAGACAGACGGATAGGCAGGACAGAACTGCCTCCCTGGGGCCCTTGCTGGCATATACTCTGCCCCACGCAGGAGGGAGGGGTGAGGGGCTGGGTCCAGTGTCCCTCTCTGAGAACGCTTGGCCTCCGCCTCCCTCTCATACCATCCTTTTGCTACCCCCCTAACCCTGTCCCTTATCCCCTGAGGGCTTCTCAGGCATATCGGCTTCAGACGCAGGCTGGGAGCAGAGGGTGAGGGGCTGGGCAGATGGAAGGAGGATGGGGCTCTCCTGGGGCAGGCGTGCCAAGAGATAAGCCTGAATGGGACCCTGAGGCCAGGTGAGGAGGACTCTGAGTGACGCTGTGGCAGGATGAAGAGCTGGTCCAGGGGCAGGTAAGTCAGGGAGGCCGGCGTTAGCTCTGTGCTGGGCTGCCCTGTGGTGCAGCACAGACCCAGCAGGAGTGGCTCCTCTCCAGCCAGGGCATCTCCACGTCGCTGGGCCCTGGCACCAGCAGTGGGACTGGCGGTTAGTGGGGCAGTGAGGACAAGCTTGGCTTCCAGAAAAGCACAAAAAGAAAGGCGTGGCCGCTGTTGGGATAGTGACTCGAGGGCAGTACATTGTGAGGAAGAGACCGGTGTGGGATGATGATGGGGATGGAGAGGAGGGGGTGGAATGGAGGGAGGGACTGTGGCAGGGGAATCAGCAGGGTGAGTCTGATGGGGACTCCGGACTCAACCCCACCGCCACAAGGCCCCGGGCCAGCTCGGCACTGCCTCCTCTGCAGGTGAGCCCACACTGAGGACCGCTGTGACCCTCGTGATCCACTTCCTGAAGGCCGCTTCTGCCTCGGCCCCAGCTCTGCCCCTGGTGCCCACCCAACACCTCTGCACCCCCCGCAAGAACCATGGTGTGGTTGTCAGCGGAGCCAGTGAGGACACTGACCTGGCTGATGGGCACGGTCCCTACCATTTTGCCCTTGGTCCCAACCCCACAGTGCAGCGGGACTGGCGCATCCAGGCTCTCAATGGTGTGTGGTGGGGAAGGGGGGACGCTGTGGCCCAGGCAGGGAGGGGGTGGCACTTGAAGTGAGATGCCCTTCCACTGTGGGGCTGGGGCGGGGCTTAGGGGGAGCAGCCCCCAGAGGGCCTGGGCAGGCTCGTGATTCTGATCACTGTTTATGGTTCCAACAGGTTCCCATGCCTACCTCACCTTGGCCCTGCACTGGGTGGAGCCACGTGAATACTCTGTCCCTGTAGTTGTCAGCCACAATAACCGGATGTGGCAGCTCCTGGTCCGAGGTGAGGCCAGGGCTCTGGTGAAGCCTGCAATTCCGGAGGGAACTACCGAATGCAGGGGGAGAGGCTGGGTACACGTGTTTGCAGGCTCACCTGGGCAGCATATACCTGGGCACACCTGCACATCTGTGGCTGGGCATACAGACTCCTGCATGCAGGCACACGCACAGAGGAGCATGCATGCTCCCCACACACGAATACATACATGTCCACAAAAACACACATACCAGCCAGCTGGGCCAGGTTGGGAGCTCCAAACAGCTGGGGAGACCCTACTACCACCACTTTTAACTCTCCTCCCTTGCCTCCCCCCAGTGATCGTGTGCCGATGCAATGCGGAGGGGCAGTGCATGCGCAAGGTGGGCCGCATGAAGGGCATGCCCACGAAGCTGTCGGCAGTGGGCATCCTCGGGGGCACCCTGTTAGCAATAGGTAATGGGGGGGCTGGGCTCCTGCAGGGAGGAGGGTGATGGATGATCAAAGCCACTGCCTCCGGATAAACAGTGTCTGTGTCCCCCTGGTGCTCTGCGTGCTGGAGAAATCCCCCCAACTCTCCTAGTCATTATGCTTTTGCCTCCTGTTATCACCTCACCACTGTCGTCATGGATAACAGCATTTACTGCTACACTATTACACAGTGACTGTGTGTCAGGCCCTTTGCCAAGCATAGCATTGTCACATTGAATCATTCCCACGACCCTGTGAGCAGATCCTGGCATCTCCCCATTTTCCAGATAAAGTCCCTGATGCTCAGAGAGGTTAAGTAGGTCGTCCAAGGTTACACAGCCAGGGTGTGGCAGAGCCCTGGTCTTTCTAGCTTAATTCCTTCAGTTCAAGCCTCTCTCTCCATCCTCTTTTTTTTCTTTAGCCCCCCTAAATTTTTTCCTGGCTGGTTTTCTTGGCTGGTAGCACAATGCTACACTACAATGTGTCTTTATTTAAAAAAAATTTTTTTAATTGATTTTAGAGAGGAAGGGAGAGGGAGAGAGAGAGATAATAAGATTAATGATGAAAGAGAATCATTGATCGGCTGCCTCCTGCACACCCCCTACTGGGGATCTAGCACCCAACCCGGGCATGTGCCCTTGACCAGAATCGAACCTGGGACCCTTCAGTCCGCAGGCTGACGCTCTATCCACTGAGCCAAACCAGCCAGGGCTACAATGTGCTTTTCTCTCAGAGGTCCATGGGAACAACTCATTGGCCTTCAGATGACTCCCACCCAAACTGTTCCGAAGAGAAAGGGACCTTGGAGGTGGGGAGTTCTGGGTGGCCTCTGGAGGCCTGGCCTGGTGAGAGCCGAGCAGGCCGAGCAAGTCAGGCTTCCTCAGGCACCAGGACCACAGGGTCATGCCAGCCCAGCCGCAGGGATGCTGGCTGGGAAATGCTGGTCCTCGTTAAACCAATACTAATAGCAGGGAGTCCCTAGTGATGGACAAGTCCCATGGCCCCTCCTGAAGGCTGATCCATCCCGCTTGGGCCCCTCAGGCATCTTCCTCGTCCTCATCTTCACCCACTTGAGCCTGGCGAGGAAGAAGGACCCGGATCAGCCAGCGGACAGTGTGCCCCTGAAGGCGGCGGTCTGAACGGTCCAGGCAGTCCCAGCTGGGAGGTTGGCCTCTGACTCCATCTGGATCTACTGGGAGAGGGCCCAGCACTGCAGCTCCACGGGGCCAGGTCAGAGCAGGAGCCCTTCACCTGCCCTGGGGTGAAGGCAACATCGCCAGACGTGTCTGTACACTGACTTTGTGGGCTGCCCGTGGGAGCGCTCCGAATGGCGGTATGTTTGTCCAATAATAAAGCCTCAGAGAACTGGGCATGGGCCCTAGTTCTCTGGACATGGGAGAGGGCCCAGCACTGCAGCTCCACGGGGCCAGGTCAGAGCAGGAGCCCTTCACCTGCCCTGGGGTGAAGGCAACATCGCCAGACGTGTCTGTACACTGACTTTGTGGGCTGCCCGTGGGAGCGCTCCGAATGGCGGTATGTTTGTCCAATAATAAAGCCTCAGAGAATTGGGCATGAGCCCTAGTTCTCTGGACACATGTGTCCAGGTGTCTGTGTGTGTGTGTGTTACCTGTGTCCACCTGCCCCATATCCTGCTGTTCAGAAAGGGTCTGGGGGCTCCCTCTTGGGAAAGTCACAGCGGTGAGATCTTGAAAAGGTGGGTCATTTTCACGGGCATTCAGAGACCACTGGCTGCAGACCCTGGATGGATCAATTCCATCCTGGCGATGGTTGGGAAGGGAGTCCTTGCGAGTATCATTTCTGGGTCTTCCTGGATACCATCTTTGCTACAAGGGGGCACCGTGTAAATCCATGTCTTGTGCTCATGTGCAAGCACACTTGTGTTCCTATGCATGTGTCACCTGCACACAGCGCTGGGTAGAGCTCTCTCAATCTCAGGAGGGGTCTGGGTAGGAATCGTGAAGGCCCCATGGGGCTAGAACAGGACAGGTGAGGGTCGGGATGGGTTCCTCTGCCCGAGCATTGACCCCAGGGCACCTTTGTGCTTCACACACAGGCTGGTCAGGCCACAGGGATTCTGCAGAAAGTCAGAGAAGGGGAACCCCTCAGATGGACACCGGGGGTGGGATAGAAACCCTTACATCAGCTCTGCCCCGGGTGAACCCTATCCCCGGGTCCAAGATGAAGCCATGGCCTTGGTGCCCTGCTGAGCCCTGACCACACCTCCAGACTGACCTCTAATCCCTGACCCTTGACTGACCCCAGATACATGCTGCTTCCCCACCCCTCCATCCCAATGGTCTCTAGGGAGTCAGAGTAGGACTTGTTGTCCTAGGCACCCTGAGCCGATGATGGTAAATCACGGGGAAGGGAGAAAAACAACCCCAGTGGGGCCCAGGCCCTATTTTTAGGAGATAATCTCTACTCCTGGCAGATTCTGTAGGATGGGGGCCAAGAGAGATGGGGCAGGCATTTTGGCTGGCCTGGGGGAGCCTGGGAGACTCAGCCAGGATCCCCAGTCCAGGGATGGACTCTGAGCCTGATCCCAGCCAAATGGAGGCTCTGCAGACTACTGTGGTCCAAGCCGAGTTTCCTCCCCTCCCCCTCTCCCAGGATCCTCTTCTTCGCCTGCATCCATGCAGATATCTTCAGGGGACAAAGCCCTTCGAAGGCAGCACCTCATCGAACCTACCCACCAACCTGGGAGGGCGGGATTATTTGCCCCACTTTCCAGTGGAAGATCTTGAAGGTCAGGGCTGCAACTGGAAGTCTTGGGAGCAGGGCACAAGGGGGGACTGTCTGGCTGAGGTTTGTCGTGTCACTTCTCCAGAAGTGTCCAGAGCCTTCAGAAGGTCTCTGCTCCCAGGAGATCCCTCAGAAGGGACCTTAGCCATCACCCAGGCCAACTCTTTCTTGTAAAGTTAGGGACGTGAATCACAAAGAAGGGGAGGGATCTTTCCAAGTCCATCCAGCCAGTGGGATGCAGCCCCTGAGCTGGAACCCTGCAGTCACCTGCTTTCTGTGTCCTTGTTCTGGATGGAGAGCTAGGGAGGGAGGTGGGTGGGTGGATACCTGGATGGATGTCTGGGTTAGTGAGCAGGTGGGTGGGGCACCAACAAAGAAAAGAGTGGGTGACAGGAAAAGGGCAAATTAAGGCATCTGCCCCATCTTGAGGGCTTTTTCTTCTTCTTTTTTTAAAAAAATCTTTATTATTGGAAGTATTAAATATGTCTCCCCTTTTCCCCTATTGATCCCCTTCTAGCCTCCCCAACCCAGGCCGTCACCACCCTATTGTCAGTGTCCATGGGGTTATGCATATATGCATACAAGTTCTTTGGTTGATCTCTCCCCACTCCCCCCAACCCCCCATCCCTGCCTTGCTTCTGAGATTCAGTCTGTTCCCTGCTTCTATGTCTCTGGATCTATTTTGTTTATCAGTTTATTTTGTGCATTAGATTCCACCTATGAGTGAGGTGATGTGATACTTGTCTTTCTCTGATGGCTTATTTCGCTCAGCATGATACTCTCCACTGAGGGCTTCTTTCTTGGGTCTCCAGGCTCCAGGCCGCTGTCTGTTTGTGTCCATGTTGGGGCTGACCACGAGGTCCACAATCCCCAGGGACCCAGGCTCAGTTCCCCGGAGCATCTCATAAGCCTCCCTTGTGATCCTCAGTCCATCTCTAGAGGAAAGTAAGGAACGGAGAGGGGACTGGCTTCTTCTGAGTCACAGAGGGAGGGAAACACGAAGCTGGCACTGGTTTGGGGGCTTGGTGGTGGGTCAGCAAGTGCTTGTGAAGGTCACGCTAATGAAGTGGGCCTCCCTCTGCAAGCAGCCAGGGCCCAGACCCTGCCAGGGCACGGTGGGCGATAATTGGTGGCTCAGTGTGGGCAGAAGAACTTGTGAGTCATGCTCTGCCTCATCCTCGCCGTGTGTTCCCAGGTGAGTCACTCCACCTTTCTGAGCTTGGGTTTACTTGTTGATAAAATGGAGCTGTTGGGAGGACTCCGTGAGATAACCCCCATCAGACGCATTTAGCACAGTGCCGGGCGTACAGCAGGAAGAGAACAGGAGGCCAGGCTTTTGAAAAGGGTGTGGAGAGGGGCCCGACGCCAGCACCCACGTGGCCCTGCTGGGTGGACCCTGGGCAAGACACCCCCCCTCTTCTGCCTTGGCTCCTGGCCATCTCCAAGGCTCTCTCTGGTTGATGTTGAGGGGTCTTGCAGGACTCAGACTGGCCTGGAGCCAGAAGCGGGGTCTGCCCCAGTGGGGAGCTCATGCTCCCCCTCTCCCAGGCCCCTTCCAGAGGCACGGGGCCAGATCAAAGGGACCCAGCACTGAGGATCAGAGGCAGGCTTGGAAAGAATGTAAACAAGAGGATATTTTTAAACTTTTTCCAGCCCTAGCGATTAGGGCTCTTGAAGCAAGAGGCCCAGAGGTCAGTCCAGCCCTCACACAAAGAAAGAAACAGTCTTGGGATCTCAGAGAGCCCCACCCCACCCACACCCACCTCTCCCACCCCAGGACCCTAGCTGGAGCCTCAGGGTGGAAGTTTTCCCTCCAATCTCAGCTCTGGCCGTCCTGCTGCTGCAGGATAGCATGTTTCTAATGAGAGGGCCTCACAGATGAGGGAGGACCCAAATAAATGATTGCAGGGGGTGGGGCCTACCTGGCAGGGCTAGTGTTGACAGACTGAGCTGGGAGACCCCTTGGCGGGCCTGTCACTTCATCAGAGGTGTGTGTGTGTGTGTGTGTGTGTGTGCGTGTGCGCTGGTGCACGCATGTGTGTCTGTGGGTGTGTAGTGCATGTTAGTGTGTGTGTGTGTGTGTGTGTGTGCACGTGCGTGTGTGTGCGCTTGTGCACGCATGTGTGTCTGTGGGTGTGTAGTGTATGTTCAAGTCTGGTCTGCCTGGTGTTACAATGTGTAAGCATGCCAGGAGCTCACCTCAGCCCCTCCCGTCCACCCTTTCCCTAGCATCCTTGGCCTCCTGCCCCAGGGACTCCTTGGGTCAGTGGGGCACATGGGGGAGACAGGAGGTAGGCTTGAGGGTCAAGGGGAAGAGAACAGGGGGAAGATGAGGAGAGCAAGGGGCTGGGAGTGGAGGGGTGAAGAGGCTGGGGGAGGGGCCTGGGTCCCGGTCTGACCCACGCAGTGAGTGAGTCAGGCTGTAAGAGCTGCAGGTACCACTGATGTGGGGCCTGGGGGACTTGTCACAGTGACTCAGGAGCTTAAACAAAAGGCTCCTTAGGTCTCCCCACTTCCTGTCACAGTGTCGCTCACTCTGGGTTCCATGGCAACAGCTTCTTCCCCAGAGGGATGCAGCCACCCTCCCACACTTATGCGACGCAATGGAACACACCCACAGCAGTGTCACCGGAAGACTTAGAGGGGTCTCAGCCACAACATGCCCCCCCCCCCCACGCTGTGATCATATCCCAGGGATTCCCACACCCTTACCCCATCCACATCCCCGCTGACCAGAAAGCCAAAGGGTCAGGGTTTACAGGGCCATTCAGTAGCCATGTCAGGGTGCGGTTGCCAGGACAACGAGGGGCCCTAGCTCCAGGCGAGGCCTTGCGGACCATTTCCCATGCTTTAGGGAGCCTAGAGAGGGACAGTATCCAACTGGAGGTCACACAGCTGCTCGGTGGAGGCAGGGCTCAGGCCCCAGGCCAGATCAACAAGCTGGTGTGCTCCCTCCAGATCCCATCTGCTGAGGCAGCAGGGGCAGAAGATGAGCTTGGTGCTTTATCAGAGTGTTGTGGGGCTTCAGGCCCAGGACAGTGGGGGAGCCCGATGCGGCTGGAACCGATGGGGAGGGGGACCTGGCGACTTGACCTCAATCTGAGGGCTGGTGCTGGCTGCCTGAACACGTTGCTATGTTGTGCCTGTATACATGCTCACTCGCCGGGGCTGTTGCTATTCTTACCTACTTGGTGGTGGCAGCAGGGTCAGAGATAGTGGCTGGTGGGAGGGAGTCATGAGTACCAGCCCCTTATCCAACACATTCCCTGGAAACTTGGCAGGGGCTGCCAGGCTCTGGGGGCCTAGGTAGGGGGAAGGGAAGGGGATCACAGGGACAGGGTGGGGGGATGGGATCACCCAGGACAAGGCCCTGCACTGCTGCCTCTCCTACGGCCAGGCAAGGTCCCATCAGAACTGGCCTGGCGGTTGCCAGTAGGATTTCTTGCCATCAAGACTCAAGTCATCCTTAGCTTCCTACCCAGAATGCACCACCTCTGAGCTTCTGATGCCCCAGAAGGCCACCGACAGGGGCTGCCGCTGTGGGGAGAACAAAGTACTGTGAGCCACAGAGGCTCAGGTTGACCACTGTCATGCCCACTTCCAGGCCATGTGACCCTGGGCAAGTCGCTTCTCCTCTCTCACCCCTTTCTTGGGCTGTTGTAGGGGTGACAAAGTCCAACAGTCAGGAAAGGGGTGCTATAGGCTGCAAGTGTGTGTGTGCACACACCCATGCATGTGCTCAGGGGTGGGGGGACAGAATGGGGAGAGGGAGGCACATGGGTCCTCCACCTTGGAGACTCCCGCCCCATGGATTTTCCATTGGCACGTCGGCACCC